CTGGTACACAGGCCCTGGCGGTGCCCGTGTGGCCAGGCAGCATCCCCCGCACAGCCGCCCCCGCCCGCCCCCAATCCCACCTCCACCCCCTGCCCCGACCGACATCAGATGCTCAGGAACCCACGCCCAGTTCAGCAGGCAACAGGTGGAAGGTTGAATAGCTTCACACGTTTTTCGGGAGGGGGTGGGGAGAAAGAGGAAAAAAAGGAGGGCGGGAGGGCAGGCTTTTGGGAGCCGATTTAAGGATTAGATCAGATGTTATTGCTAGTGAAAAATTAAACAGCCCGGTGCTCTGGGGAGTGCAGATTAATATATTTAGTGACTGTGCGCACAAAGGCCGCTCATTGTAGCCACGTCTGAATGCCTGTGAATAGGATGGAACATATGCGGCCTGTCACCGCAGGTGCCCACATCTGTTCCTCTGCGGGCAGATGCTCGCAGAAAGGAGGTGGGAGGCGGGGAAGGATGGCGCAGGGCAGCTCGGGTCCGGCTGGGACAAGCGGGCGGGGCGGCCTCCTCGCGGTTCCGGCCCGGCCCGCGCCCCGCCCCGCGGGCCGGGTGATTGACGGGCGCCGGGACCGGCGACAGGTGCCCGCGACCTCCGGATGGGGCGCGTCCCGGAGCGAGGCCTCGGGAGGGCCCGGGTCGCTCGCGCCGCCCTTTCTTTCCCACCCTCATTGTCTGACACGGTCACGGGCCGGCGACCCCCAGGTGGGGCCGCGCCTCGGTGCAGGTGACCGGGTGCCCCCCACCCCCGCCGCACGCCCGGCGGCCGGGGGTGACCCGCTGACCTGGCCCTCCCAACCTGGCGCTCATGCCCCTGCGGCGAGTGCCCGGCCCGCCGCCGCCACCCACTCCAGGCAGCCCTCCGGAGCGCCCACTGGCGCCGCGCCCCCTCCAGGCAGCCCTCCAGAGCGCCCGGCCCGGCGCGTTCAGTCGGGGGCCGCTCGGGCGGGCGAGCGGAGCAGCTGCGCGGTCATCCGATCGGGACAAAGGCGCCCGGAGCCGCGCCAGGTAAACAGCGCTTTGTCATGGAGATGAGCGCGGACCGCCGGGCAGATGATCCCGGGGTCGGAGGAGCGGACTCCGCGCCGCCAGCTGAGCCACGCGACCGCCTTTCTCATGCAAACCAGCGCATGCCTCCGCAACCCCGGCCCGCGCTGCGCCCCAGGGCGCGGGGTCCCCGCTCCGGACCACGTGGCCGGGCCGTCCTTCCTCCCTAGCTGCGGGTGTCTGCGCTTGGCGGGTGGAAGGGAGGGCAGAGGGGAGGCGTCAGGCCCACTGGGTCTTCCCTGGGCTCTGTCCTCCGGTACCGGTGCTCTCCGCCCCGCGCCAACCTGCCGCCCACCAGGAGTGGTCCTGGGCGTCTGCAGGCCGCCCCTCCCCCGAGGGAAACGTCCCAGGGAGGGCAGGGGAGGCCGAGCTGTGGGGCCTTCCTTGGTGTGCCGCGTAGCGTTTATCCTTAGCGAGAGGGAAGCCTCGGAGCCTGAATATAAAAGCTAGATCTGCCCCTCTTTCCCGCCGTGGACAAACGGATGGCTTGGGTTAGGATGTATCTTCAATAGAGTGATCCGGAAGGAACTTGATCAGGTGCAAACACACCGTGTATACATTCGGGTCAGTGCGTCTTGTAAATGTTCACGTGTCTCTGGGGTTCGGTCCTTAAGAAGAAGTAAGGGACCATCCATCACAGCCACCCCGCGCGGGTGAGGTTTTACCCACAGATGTCTGTGGAGCTTCCTGTGTGCGAAGCAAGCAGGCCAGTTCCTCTGCTCTTTTACCCGCTGAAGGATTCCAGACCTGTGACTGATGGGGAATGGGCAGAAGGGTGTGCTGGTGGGAGATGTGATGCTAATGCCAATGAATAAACTTGCTTTAGGTTCCCTTCATCATCTTCTTTTTCAAGTAAGCTGGCATGTTTGATCAACACCAGATTTGCTGCCTGGAAGTTTTTCATTTTCTTGTTCTGAACAAGGACCCTAATTCTTCTTAGGAATAAGAGAACCTCTCTGTTGGGTATACAGTATTCAGTTGGTCTAAGAAAACACAAACCCCACTCAAGTCTCCAGACTTGTTTACACAGAAAACTGAACCTGGGGCTGGCTTGGAGTCTGGATCCTGTTCTGGGCATTGTTTATTGCAATCTGCCCAAGCCCTCCTCCCCCACCACACACATACCTCAGGGATAGAACCTTTCTTTAGGCAAACGGGGATGGAAACAGGATGGGGCTGACCACAGCATGAGTCACACTCATTGCTGAGGATGGGCATTTAATCTGATAAAATGATGGTCATGAGCTTTTATTCCCAAGTGGCCTAATAAAATGATGGGTAAAATGATCAGGGTCGCCAACAAGCAGAGAACTCAGCTGTAGTTGGTGTGGCTGTGGTTCTGATTATACAGCTGAGCCTACCCTGGTCATTGGGGTCATTCAGGCTATAAGCTCTGAATGCCTGGCAAAAATAAAACACCAACACCAGGTGGTAAATCCCTCTCCCCACTCCTGTGTCTGATGTATTGGGTGCCTTCGAAGCCCTAATGAGCCTCACTTTGTACAGTAAATTTGCTGAGACATCAAAAAGTATTTAAAAGAAAGTTTCCTGCTTTTTCCTAATGAGCAAGGTGAGGATTTATGGTGTGTGTGGGAGGAGGGAATCTGGCTGCTAAAGCCAGCACGGGGGCAACTCTGTTTAACATAGTCGAGCTTAAGCTCCCTCCTGCATTTAGGGGGTTCAGAGCGATTAGTCGCAGGAGTATACAGACATGCAGTTAGGGAGTGAAAAAACGCCATTTGGTTTGGAGCAGATGGCTGGCTAGGGGGCTGATGGCGTCTAAAGGCGTGTCATCCCCCTTCAGCCTGAATCCCTAAGGGCTCCCCTTGTCTTCCCAATCAATGAAAATTAAAGTGCAAAGAAAGGATGAATAGTTGGACCTCGAGTCTCTCCTTTGTTCATCTCAGCTACTGGTGTGCAGGAGTTAAACTACAACAGACTCCTATAGAAACACTGAAGTTAAACAGTCTCCCGTTAGCTCAGCTTTGAAAGGGAGAGGGGGAGAGGGCCCAATGTGGGGTGGGGGGAAAGACAGAGAGAGAGAAGGAGAAGAAGATGGAGAGAGAAGAGGAGGAAGAAAGTAGAGGAAAGAAGAGCCGGAGGAGGAGGAAGGGCAAGAAAAGGGCTTTCTGCTTGATTTCCCCAATACAGAATTGCGTGGCATAAATTAAGTTGGAAAAGAATGAACGCTTTGGGCAGGATTCTGATGGATTTTACGATGCCTTTCAGTTCCGCTTTGCCGCTGTAATCGAGAAATCTGTGCCATGTCAATTTAACAAATACTTGATACTGAGGCGGGTTTGTTAAAGATTTGGGGCAAGTCGTTCCCCCCCCACCCCCGCAAGGTTTAAGCCCTTGGGCGTGGAACTTTTTATTTCCAGTTTTCTAAACAGGCATTCAGATGAGCCTGTTTCCCACTTCCATTTTCTAATTAAAAGGTTCCCTATATTTCATTTCTTACCGAAATCTACTCTCAGTCTGGAAGCACAGAGGATTTAGAGTTCACATTCCTTTCTTCTTTTGCCCTCTCCTGCTCCTGGAACCCTCTTACCTCTCTCCCCACCACTGTCTCTCTCTCTCTCTCTCTCTCTCTCTCTCTCTGTCACACACACACACACACACACACACACCAGCTTCCATGCAGTAGGGAGCAGAGTTCTCAGAAATTAGCTTTCAGAGGAAACATGGATGTAGTGAAAAAAGGATGCTGACACTAGGTGGCAAGATTAAATTAGGATTCGCACTGGCCCAGCCCTGTGGTGATGCAGCGAGTCCTCGAAAAGTCCCCAGAGGGCGGCCACGCTGGGACTGCCACCGTCCTGGGGGCACAGGAGGTTTTGAAGTCTCCATTTGTTGTGAACCAAACCGTAGGGGGTTCTGGTGGGGTCCAAGCCTGCCTTTCTCACCTCAGCCTTAAACATTACACGCACATTACTTTCGATTAATTCTTTGCTTCTCTGGCATCAGTGGAAAACCTAAAATCTGTCCTGAAGGTATTTGGGAGCCTGTTGCCTAACAGCTGGAGGGATGGCCATGAATGACTTCAACTGATTACTTGGTATTTGAGAATTTTCCCTCTTCCCGTGCATTATATGGTACACTGTGATCTCAACATCTGCCTCAGTGAAAGTCACACTTGGCCAGGACAGTGCACGTTCCCACTAACAAGGCAGCCGTAGCACACCTAGAGCAAGGCCCTTGTGGCCAGGCGCCCTGGGGCTGTGCCGCCATCAAAGTGACATGTACTCCAACGCTCACACTGCTCGTCCTGGATGAAGCTGCCCTAGGTGTTGGGGGGAGGGGGGAATAAAGGAGGAGCAGAAGGGGGTGGGAGAGAGACCTCGAAGTGCGCCCAGCAAGAAGCTGGATGCCAGAGTAGGAGTCCATGCCCCACCTTAACTCTGCATTGCGCCCGCAACCATGAGAGCAATTTAGATAGCTCATTGTGTGATAACGTGTGTTCTCGGCCCTCCCAATAAACTCATTTCCCTTAAAAAAAAAATGAAAACAAAAGTTCTAGTGTCTGATGGACGTGTAAACCCTAATAAGGTGATGGTTGTGCGAAGGTTGCGGGTTGAGTCGGCCAGGCTAGAGGGTCTTTAGAACATGTGCCGGACATTGTTGCAGAGGCCGCGGCGCGCGCGGAGGGGAGCTCTTTCTCTCCGCATTGTGCGGGGAGCAGGTGCGGTCTGCATTACCATACAGCTGAGCGCACAAAGAGCCACTGATTCAGCCTCGCACAATAACAGACTGCCTTAATGACAGCCACGCGAACGACACACACCAAACTCACTTTTTACCAAGCAGAGGGAGGCCGAGGGGGGAAGACACAGGAGAAAGGGGCCGGAGACCCAGGAAAGGTGTCGGAGGCCGAGAATAGCGCCCGGAAGGGTGCGTGTGTGTTTTTGGGGCGGAGGGGGGGCGGTGGTTTAAGGCGTCAGGATCCCGGGCGCTAGCCGGACCCCGCCCCCCAGCGGCCGCCGACCAGCGCGGGGACACCCCGAGCTCGCGGCAACAGGGTCCCCGGGGGCGCCGCGCTCGCCCCTGTGTTCCCAGACGCAGAGTCGCCGTCCTTGCCTGGAGACGTCTGGGTGTCAGACCTTCCCAAACTTCCCGAAACTGCCGCTGCCCTCTCGCCACCCTCTGCCCGCCGCTCAAGCCTGCCCCCTCCCTCTCGTGCCCGGTCCCCCGCCCCGGAGACTCCTCCTTAGGAAGAGGCTGCCCGGGAGAAGGGGCGGCCCACCGGGAACTGGGCCTCCGACTTCGCCCCCGCCGCCAGACCCCGGCCGCGGCGCGCAACAGGGACGAAGGCGGGCGCCGCGGCGACCGGAGAGTTCCCGAGGCCGGACGCGGCCTCACCCGCCGGGTGGCTCACGGCAGGGCAGGGGCGCAGCGCCACCCCCGCGGGTCCCGGGGCCTCTGCGAGCCTGTGGCCGGGAGGGCAGCGCCGAGGAGCCCGGGCGGCGGCACCAGCCTCGGGCGCAGAGGGGATTCTTGCGGTGAACGTTTTACAGGAATGTAAATGAGTGCGTTTCGTGCGGTGGGGGGCTGGGGGCGGGGGCAGGGGAGGGCCGGGGGCGGGGAGGGTGGGGGCGGGGAGGAGGGTTGCACATTTTACAGCTCACTGACCATTTGGCGATCCATTGAGAGGAGGGTTTGGAAAAGTGGCTCCTTTGTGACAGCTCTCGCCAGATTGGGGGGCTGCTCATTTGCATCTCATTAGCCATGCGGGCGGCCGGCGGGATATAAGGCGGCGGCGCGGGGCGAGCCCGAGCCCTTGCGCGCCCGCGGAGCCCCGGCCGGCGCCGCACCAGACACACAGCCTGGCGCGCAGCCTCCGCCGGGACCCGGTCCGGGACCCCGGGTGTTGACCTGGATGGCACTGACTGGGTCCCTGGGAAAAACTCGGGTCCAGGGCGCTCCCCGGACCGCGGCCGCCGAGTGAGCTGGCCGGGCCGCACCCGCGGGCGCTCCGCCGGCGCCGGATTACCGCCTCGCGCGTGGGATTTCCAGACCCCGGCTCGCTAATCGGACTCGCGGGGAGCCCTGCAGCTCGTCGGGAATTGGGCTGAATATCTGGACGCTTTCTCTCCTCTCTTTTTTTTCTTTCTTTCTTTCTTCCTTTTTTTTTTTTTTTTTCCTGCGAAGAATCTTGAGACAAAACCAGGAAGCAGACGACCCCTACCTACTCGTGGGTTGGAAGAAAGAGGGGAAAACCGAAAGTTGCCGCGCCAGAAGCAATCTCTCCGGGGAGCCTTTTTTTTTTTTTTTTCCTCCCGTGCATCCCCGGAGCCGCAGTCGCCTCCGCAGGGAGGATCTAAGGAAACTCGGCCTCCGAAAGAGCCGGAGACGGACCCTTGAGGAAAGAAGTCCGGATAATCCCAGTCCGAGGCAAAGCGGCGGCGCTTTTCTGCCCGCGCTCCTGGAGACACCTTCCTCCCCGAGCATTCCCTGGCGATTTCAGAAGAGAAGGGGGACGCGAGGAGAGCGAGCGCGGCCGGCGGTGCACCATGGGCCGGCGGTGCGCCCTGGCCCTCGCCGTGCTCTCGGCCCTGCTGTGCCAGGTAAGTTGCCAGGCGGGGTCCTAAGGGCCGCGCCGTCAGGTAGGCTATCAGCGGGGCTCTCCGGCTCCCTGGGGCGTCAGGTGGGGGGGACCCGGGGCGCGGGCCGCGCGGGGGGCAGGGCCCAGGGCAGGACGCGGCCGGGCGGGCTCCCCGCGCCTGGAGCCCCACGCCCTAGCCTCGCCCGCAGGTCTGGAGCTCCGGGGTGTTCGAGCTGAAGCTGCAGGAGTTCGTCAACAAGAAGGGGCTGCTGGGGAACCGCAACTGCTGCCGCGGGGGCGCGGGGCCGCCGCCGTGCGCCTGCAGGACTTTCTTCCGCGTGTGCCTCAAGCACTACCAGGCCAGCGTGTCCCCCGAGCCTCCCTGCACCTACGGCAGCACCGTCACGCCGGTGCTGGGCGTCGACTCCTTCAGCCTCCCGGACGGCGCGGGCGCGGACACCGCCTTCAGCAACCCCATCCGCTTCCCCTTTGGCTTCACCTGGCCGGTGAGCGCCGCACCTGCGGGCGCGGGGCGGGCGGCAGGTGGGCAGGGAGGCGGCCGCCAGCCCTGCTCCGGGGCGCGGCGGGGGCGCGGGGCTGGGCCTGGGCAGGTGGGCGCCGCGGTCCGCGGGGGCCTGGGGCATTGACTCCACGCCCGGGTGATCTGCAGGCGGCGGCGGCGGCGGCGGCGGCGGCGGGGGGGAGTGTGGGAGGTGACAGCCGGGATAGAGTGAGGCAGAGAGGCTGAGGACCCGGGACATTTCCGTATCCGGTCTCTGCGCCTAGCCCCCAAGTTGAACGGGCCCCTTCACTTGGGAAAGTTCTAGTTCCCCAGCTCGTGGACTGGCTAGTTGTTAAGTCGCCCTCGCAGCCTGACAGCCCCCAGGCCCTCTGCTTGGCGCCTTCCCCAGAAGACTGCAGACAAGCCCCTCCAGCCCCGCCTGCTGCGCGCAATCGTTTTTCCTTTTCTTTTTCTTTCTTTTTTTTTTTTTTACCGCGATATCCTGTATTAACAGGCTGAAAAAACACGTCAGGAAACCACTCTTTAAAAAGTTTTTCCATTTCCTTAAGGAAAATGAAATCAGACAAGAGATGTACAGAGACCCCCCCACCCCCACGACACACTGCACACAGATCTGCGACGACTTGGTCGTCCCGAAAGCTTTGATTCTTTTTTAAACATTTCTGGTTTATCTTCTGTCTCCTCCCCCTTCCTCCAGGGAACCTTCTCTCTGATCATTGAAGCTCTCCACTCTGATTCTCCTGATGACCTCGCAACAGGTAAAAACAAACCAAAACACTCCCAAACTGTGCAAACTGCGTCTCCAGTTATTATGTATTTGAGTTCAGATCTCCCCAGAAACAAACGTCTGCATCTTTCATTCTGCAAGTTACTCCGGAAGGTTGAGGAGAAGAGCCTTCAGCCTCCTTGCCCAGCATCCTTTCCACCTCCCTCTCTCCCCGAGCCTCTGGGCTCCCAGTCAGGACCAACAGAGCACCCTCTTCCTGCAGAGAACCCGGAAAGGCTCATCAGCCGCCTGGCCACGCAGAGGCACCTGACAGTGGGCGAGGAGTGGTCCCAGGACCTGCACAGCAGCGGCCGCACAGACCTCAAGTACTCCTACCGATTCGTGTGTGACGAGCACTACTACGGGGAAGGCTGCTCCGTCTTCTGCCGCCCCCGCGACGACGCCTTCGGCCACTTCACCTGCGGGGAGCGAGGGGAAAAAGTCTGCAACCCTGGCTGGAAAGGCCAGTACTGCACTGAGCGTGAGTCCCTGCGGGAGGCCGCCGCTCCCTCAGTTTACCCCTCCCCAGGCCTGCTCCCCCACCCCCACCCCCGGCAGTGGGGACATATTCTCTGAGCTGCTGGCATCTTGGGGTTTTAGCCCTGGAGAGATGTTCTGGTGGGGAAACCAGGGCCGGGGAGCCAGAGAGATTTGCTGAGACCTCACAGTTAGCCAGTGGCAGGTTGGGGTCAACTTAGACGTTTTAACTTCCGCTATGGGAAGCTGCCTTTCTTAATCAGGGAGGATTTTGGACACAGGGCCAGGGGTCAGGAAGTAAGCCTGAGGGAAGGGAGGGAGGAAGGAAGGGAGGAACAGAGAGGAGGCTGTGTGCAGGGCGTGCTTTTACCAAAGGAGTTCTCTTTGCCCAGACAGCTTCTCATTGAAAAGTGCTTCATTTTCTCTCCGGAGTTGGTGTGCTCGGCCTGTTTAAAAACATTCCACTGTTCACGACACTTTCACTCGCAGGGTCAATGGACGTGGGTGGGTGTGTTTTGAGGCCTGGGCCTGCCAGGCATGCTTGGGGAGGGGTCTGCTTGTCCTGCTTGCGGGATGCTCACATAGTACCCTGCCTGGGAGGGGGGACATACCTTTACAAAAGTGACTTAGGCCCTGCCTGCCCGTAGTTCTGTATTCTCCAGGCAGGCAGGGTAGCTGCACAGGTGCAGGGGGCATAGGAGGGTTGTGAGGACCGGCTGGCTCCTGGGCCTGGTTCAGCTGGACCCCACTTGCCTCACTGCCACCTCGCACTCTAGGTGTCAGGTGGGGTGGGTCCTAGAGCTTCCCCAAAAACCCCAGGGAACCTTGCTTCCGCCCCCGAGCCTGGGAACCTTCTCTGGCAGGACAGAACCTCTCGCCGGGAGGTGCAGCTTCTCAGTTTGGATTTGTGCGTACCTGCAGCGTCATTGTCGCTCAGCCCGCACAGCTTTCCACAGCTCCTTTGAGCTCGCCTTGGCCTGAGCTGGCTCTGTTGTCTTAAAAACTTGTGGAGCGGCTTGTTAATGAGTTTCATAACCAGGAGAAGGGAGCCAGCTGAAACCTCAGCCTCCAGCCTCCCCACCCCCTCCGGGACCTCTGGCCGGCCTGCCGCCTCCCTCCTGGCTACCCTCCCTCTCCCTCACCGTGGGGTTGCCATAAACTTAAACTTTTTTTCTTCTTATTCAAACACTGGAGTCTGTCCCCGCCCCCAGCTTGCGCGTGCCATCGATTAGATCTCTCCGGGGATAGGCGGCTGGGACGCACGCCTGTTCCCATTGGTGGAAAGGGTGCACGTGTGTGTGTGTGTGTGTGTGTGTGTGTGTGTGTGTGGTGTACACGCTGGGGTGTGTGTGAGGGGTGGGGGCATGGGGGGCGAGGGGGAGGCCGGTATTGTTGCACTGGGGCAGCTGCTGGGAGAGAACAGACAATAGAGCAGCTGTCTTGCCCTGGTACTCTGCATACCAGCTGTCCACCCTTATCTACACACACACTTTCTGGGTATTAAGAGGTGGAGCTTTGTGCATAGAATTGGGAAGTGGGGGAGGAGGAGGGGGAAGGACTTCTGACCCTCTCTTAGAAGAAAAGGGGCCGGGTGTGGAGGGGGGGCTTCCGCGCTCTTTTGTCCTGGAGCCGCTGTGTTAAGAAGAATGCTCCTCCTGGGCTGAGTAAAGTCCGCGGTGGTTACCGGGCAGGACAGTCGATGCCCGGGGCTCGGCGAGGCTCTCTGGCGGAGCTGGGCACGGTCTGTAGCCCTGTTGTGCTGGGGGCCACTCTGGTGGGCTTGACGCTGTGCCTTTTCTTCTCGCAGCCATCTGCTTGCCGGGGTGCGATGAGCAACATGGGTTTTGCGACAAGCCAGGGGAATGCAAGTAAGTTTGCAAGAGCTGCTTTTTTCTTTTTCTTGTTGTCCTTTTACACCTAGTGTATTAGTAAAGCATCTCTAGATGCCCTTTTGAAAACCGCAGGTAAGATTAGCTGGTTGGAGGGGGCTGTGTTTCTGTGTTTCTACTAAATAAATACATGGACGGGCATAGGGTCAAGGGCTGTCATCCATCTCAGTGGTTGTGGAACTTACAGATGGAGATTTAAAAAGAATCGGCACAGAAGAAGAGAGAGTTTAGTTGGTTCTCAAACTTCGCAGCACATTAGAATTACCTAGAGATGCTGCCCCGGTTGGCCCTTGGACCCAGAGTCAGACCCTCTGACGTGGGACGAAGGCATCCACATGGTTTAAAGCTCCTGAGGATGGTCCAGTGTCCTGCCTCATTTGAGAACCAGCGGTGTTGATGCTGTTGGAAGACAGTCTCTCGTGAGTGGGAAAGGTGTTGCTAGGAAGCCGGTAGCATCAGCATCCACTGACTCTGTCCTCTCCTCCAAGGTGCAGAGTGGGCTGGCAGGGCCGGTACTGTGACCAGTGCATTCGGTACCCCGGCTGTCTCCACGGCACCTGCCAGCAGCCCTGGCAATGCAACTGCCAGGAAGGCTGGGGGGGCCTTTTCTGCAACCAGGGTAAGCCTCCTGTCCCCCGCCAGGCAGCCTGGCTTCCCGGGCGCTCTCAGGGAAGTACGGTCTCCCAAATTTAACCCTGGGCCTCCCTTCTCCTCCTCTTCCCGTCTCCACCCTCACAGACCTGAACTACTGCACACACCACAAGCCCTGCAAGAATGGGGCCACCTGCACCAACACGGGCCAGGGAAGCTACACTTGCTCTTGCCGGCCTGGGTACACGGGGGCCAACTGCGAGACGGAGGTGGACGAGTGCAGTGCCAGCCCCTGCAGGAATGGAGGGAGCTGCACGGTGAGTCTGGCCACCGTGGGCTCTCCTGCCGAACCGGGAACCCTGGTTTGAGACAGACCGTGTGGGTCCCTCGGAACGACGTAGGAAAGCTTTCTTCATCTTCTCCATTACTCAGGACCTCGAGAACAGCTACTCCTGCACCTGCCCGCCTGGCTTCTACGGCAGGATCTGTGAGCTGAGTGCCATGGTGTGTGCCGACGGCCCCTGCTTCAACGGGGGACGGTGCTCGGACAACCCCAAGGGAGGGTACACCTGCCGCTGCCCTGGGGGCTTCTCTGGCTTTAACTGTGAGAAGAAAATGGATTCCTGCAGTTCCTCACCCTGTTCCAATGGTAAGGGGGCCGCCTGACCCATCCGAGATGTTGTCCAGTGGTCCACACTGGTGAGAACGCGTCAGAAGCGCAGAGTTTAGTTTCAGGCTGAGTTCATCACTTTGTGAGTTGCCTTGCGTTTCAGAAGCCCTTCTGTCTGAACAGTGAGAAACTGTTTATAGAAATCTTATCCCCGAGTCTGGAAGCACCCAGGGAGCTAGGAAGGCAGGCAGGGGCGTTCCTTGTCCGCAGGGCCCGGCTCAGGTGGAGACGCAATGACCTGCGCGCCGTCCTGCGGCGCCTCGGGTGCCCGAGACTCCGAACATCAGCGGGTCAGCCCCAGCGCCAGCCCAGCCACTGCGCTTTTGGAGGGAAGCCCAGCTCTGCTCTGTCACCAAACAGAGCCGTCTGCTGCGAGGATGTATGGTCTCCACGAGTGGGGGGGATGCCCTAAGCAAACTCACAGAGGGGGAAGCTGGGCCCCAGACAGGCTGGACCATTCTGGAAGCTTCTGGAGCTTCTGCGTGGAGTGTGATAATCAATGGAGAGGAATCAGCTTGCTTTGCTCTCCATGTTCTGTACAGAAGGTGTGGCAGTCCTGGGGTCAAGCTCTCTCTCCTGTTGGCTTCCAGCCACTGAACCGATAGAGCAGTGGATGCTTCATGCCTAGAGAGGAAGAATAGGGAGGTTTAGCAGGCTTGGCTCTGGAAAGACAAAGACCAAACCCCAGCCTCCTCCCTCCCTTCCTTTCTTGGTTTCTCTTTCTTTCTGTTTCAAGTCTTACTTGTCACTAACTGTGTAACTGTGGGCAAGCACGTCATCCTCTTTAAGCCTTGGTTTCCTCATCTGTAAACTGGGTCCTTTGTTGGCTTGCTGTGCAGGCGAATGCAGCACGGTAGGCAAAGCGTTTTGCACGGTGCATGTCAGGAGGTATTAGCCTGTATTTTTTAGGTGATTTATGGAGCTTGACCAGAAACCCCACCCCGGCCCTCGCCGTGGGCCTGTGTTTGATGTATGTTGTCTTAAGCGGTGGCCTCTGTCCGGTCTGCCCCTGTGTCTCTGCTTTGGTGTGTGACGCAGCGGCCGGGGCAGCACGTGCTTCAGGGCATTTTCTGGGTGACAAGCCACTGCCCTTGTCCGTGTCCCAGGTGCACAGTGCGTAGACCTTGGCGATGCTTACGTGTGCCGCTGCCAAGCCGGCTTCTCTGGGAGGCACTGTGATGACAGCGTGGACGACTGTGCCTCTTCCCCGTGTGCCAACGGCGGCACGTGCCGGGACGGCGTGAATGAGTATTCCTGCACCTGCCCCCCCGGGTACACGGGCACAAACTGCAGTGCCCCTGTCAGCAGGTGTGAGCACGCACCCTGCCACAATGGGGCCACCTGCCACGAGCGGGCCCTCCGCTACCTGTGCGAGTGCGCCCGGGGTTACGGGGGCCCCAACTGCCAGTTCCTGCTTCCCGAGCTGCCCCCGGGCCCCGTGGTGGTGGACCTCACCGAGAAGTACGTGGAGGGCCAAGCCGGCGCGTTCCCCTGGGTGGCTGTCGGCGCGGGCGCGGTCCTCGTCCTCACGCTGCTGCTGGGCTGCGCTGCCGCCGTGGTCTGCGTTCGGCTGAGGCTGCAGAAGCGCCGGCCCCCCGCCGACCCCTGCCCGGGGGAGGCGGAGACCATGAATAACCTGGCCAACCGCCGGCGGGAGAAGGACATCTCTGTCAGCGTCATTGGGGCCACGCAGATCAAGAACACCAACAAGAAGGTGGACCTGCACACGGAGCCCGGCACCGAGAAGAACAGCCTCAAGGCTTGCGACCCCGCCGTGGGCTATAACCTGCTGCAGGACCTCAAGGGTGCCGCTGCCAGTGGGGAGCCCCACAGCAAGCGTGATGCCAAGAGCCAGCCCCAGGGCTCTGCGGGGGAGGAGAAGAGTGCCCCGACCCTCAGGGGGTGCGTGCTACGGGCCAGAGGGGGCAGGCGGGAAGGCCAGCAGGGGGGAGGGTGCCCGACCCTCGCGGGGTGCCTCGGGCCAGGCCGGGCAGGGGGACCAGCTGGCTGTGTTCCTCCAAGCTCTGGTCATTGTACTGTTCAAAAATGTTTTCACGTGTTGACTATGGATGTCTTTCATTTCCCTTCTAGTGGAGAAGCAGCTGAAAGAAAAAGGCCGGACTCTGTGTACTCCACTTCAAAAGACACAAAGTACCAGTCGGTGTACGTCATATCCGAGGAGAAGGACGAGTGCGTCATCGCAACTGAGGTCAGCGCGCGGCTGCCCGACCCACCCTCGGCCCGGCCGGGTCGGAACCGGGCCTATGACTTGCGCTAACCTCCCCTCTGTCTCTTGGCCCCCCTAGGTGTAAAGTGGAGGTGATGTGGCGAATTCCCGTTTCTCTTAGAATAAGTGAACTTCCAAGGATATCTGCCCCGACGATGCTGCTGAGAGGAGCGGAGGTGCTCGTGACTGCTGCTGGGAAGCCAGGTCCTCTTCCTGCCGAGGGGGCGGCCGGCAGGCGTTCCAGGCGCCTGTCGCACTGCCTTTTAGGACGTTTCCATTGCACTATGGACAGTTGCTTTTAAAGAATATATATTTAAATGAATGGACTTGATCACTACGTGAGAAGCTCGCACTGCTTGGAGTGTATATGTTGGATTCTTATGAGCCAGTCTTTTCTTGAATTAGAATCACAAACACTGCCTTTATTGTCCTTTTTGATACTAAAATGTGTTTTTTCTAGGTGGAAAAAAATGTGCGTTATTTTTTGGATTTGTAAAAATATTTTTCATGATATCTGTAAAGCTTGAGTATTTTGTGATGTTCATTTTTATAATTTAAATTTTTGGTAAATATGTACAAAGGCACTTCGGATCTATGTGATTATATTTTTTTGTATATAAATGTATTTATGGAATATTGTGCAAATGTTATTTGAGGTCTTTTTTTTTACTGTTTTGTTAATGAAGAAATTCCTTTTTAAAATATTTTTCCAAAATAAATATTATGAACGACATCCAGAGGTGTACTTACTCACCCTGCGTAAGAGCAGACTTTCACTCATACTCGTCCGAGGCCGCGAGGACAGAAACGGCCTCTGCTTTTCTGTTTCCCAGGTCTTTGCATAGTTTCATTGGATTGATGAAAAGCAACTTTCCTCGCTCCTCTGCCCACCTCAGAGAACCCTCCAAGGTCACTGTCAGGAAAAGGAAGGGGCGGGCGCAGTGCTGCTGGTCGCTTGATTCCCTGAGCATCCCCTGAACTGCACGGAAACCTGAGGGCACTTCACGTCTGGTCAGTGCTGAGAAGCCTCGGAGCTGGTCACCTTCCATCGGAGCCTTATTTTTATCAGGACTGGAACAAAGCCTCATTTTGGATTAAATACCCACAGAGCACTTTAATGTCGTCATGACAAAGGCTTTCGGTCCTCGAATAATACTTATTCATTGGTTTGTGGGTTTATCTCTAGCTAATTCAAAAGAGTTAGTTGCCTCCTAATTCAACCACAGTTGCCATGGGACAGACAACAGCAATGATAAAAACACTCTTCTTGGGTGGTTACTACCAGCCAGGCCGCTCTTCCATGTGAATTATCTCATTAATCCTCCGAGATAGTAGCTTCGTTACTCCCATTTTATAGCTGAGGAGACTGAGGCTTTGGGGGGTGAAGGTACTTGCTCGGGGTTGGTAAGTGGCAAAGTCAGCATTCAAATCTGGGCAGTCTGGCTCCAGACCCTGGTTTGATCATTATCTGTCAGAAACTCAGCTTCTTATTGAGAACAAGACAGGGATTTAACAGACCGCATCACTGGTGCCATTCAGTGGTTCCAAAGGATCCGTGCAGATGGTCAGCTCTCGAGGACAAGTTAGTGTTGGGGAAAAGTGGTTTACTCCTGGGGTCAGAGGGGAACAGGCAGAGGGCTTAACTAATTAGAGGGAAGAGGTTGCCTTTGTCTCAGTGACTGTGATGAATTTATTCCATCGGTCGTTATTGTACAGTCAGAAATTCTGGACTCTTCCTGCAGAGGAAACACAAAGCACGTTGTGTGTTAACCAGTCCTGATGCCCATCCTCGTGTGTGTAAAGGATGGAGAAGCACGTGCAGTGGACTGGAGACCAAGATAACAACATTGGGGCCAGACGGCACCCAGGAGCCACCCGGCTGGGGCTTCTGCCTCTGAAACACAACCCCATCCGTTCCCCACCCCTCTGGCTTGTTATTTTGGAATAACTGCTCACGGGCAGAAACTCCAGTGGAGAGATTGCATCCACGGAAAGAAGTCAGCGTCAGGGCCAAGTGCGGCTGAGGGAGATTTAGGCTTCTGAAGCTCCTCCACACTCAAACTGTCCCCTGCTGACTTTAAGGGTTAGCAGCATATTCTAGAATAACTGAGGGGGTCACCAAGGTTTCTTTCAAGAGGCTACAGGATCTGGTGAAAGAGTGGGGTGAACTCAATCCAGTTTACGCTTGTTAACCTGGAGTCATTCATAGCTCCCTCTCACTTTCAGCAGTGACCTGACTCGGATAATAAATTAAATGGCTTATCTATTTTCAAGAATATGGAATATTCTGGGATTCTTGCAAAGCCCATTCTATGAAAGAACCTCAATGCACTTAAAGATAATGTCACTTTCATCTTTTCCAGCCTTCTAGTAAAATCAGGGAAGAAATTCATCTTTCATCTAGGTAAGCAAGTAACACGGCAAACTGAGACCGAAAGGTACAGCTTTGGAATTGCCAGCCAGTTGAAAATTGGTGCACGTGGTTCCCTGGGTCCCTCCTGAGACTTACGTTTTAATTGGACATTGAACCAGATGGTCCCTCAGCTTTCAGGGTTTACGTCATTTGCAGGGGGAAGTTCAGGTACATTGACCAAAACATCCACATGAACACATGGGTATTTACAGACAAGTGTCCACGATTCACCGCCCAAGCGACGCCCGGCATGACTAGCCTTGCTCGGAACCAGGCAGGAAGGAGCATCTGTGACAAGAACAAGGAGGTGAAAAGGCAGGTCCCTTCAGTGGGGGTGAAGCTGGCGCTGGACCTGTGCTCCCAAGTTCTGAGGAGCACGGAGCGTGGGTGACGCCTGCCCGAGGGCCCGGCCTGCAGCCTCAGCCCCACGCTCCAGGCACCGCCTTCCGGGACTTTGGTGAGACAGAAAGGAAGGTGGGGCGCACATACTTTTCCTTAGGCCTTTTTCCTTTAACTTTTCATAGGGACGTAATTTTGGACTTCCAGAAATTCTGCTAAGAATTCTCGTCATGACGATGGCTGTCACGTCCGTCCTCCTTCCATCCTGACTGGTTGGCCCTCTGCAGTCAGGACGAGCGGTCCTTTCTTGTCCACAGCAGTGTAGATGTTACTCAGTGGCTCATAGTCTGCTGCTGCCCCAGGGTGGGGCGGTCCCCACCCTCCCGGGTGTGTCTTACCTTCAGGCTCACAAGCCCTCCTGGCCCAGCTCTGGAACTGGCCCCTCTTAGTAACCCTGCTTCCATCAGTGGAGGAGGGAGACAACCGTGTTTCTCATTTTGTGCCTTTGTGAGCCTGACAGCAGCCGGCAGTTACCGAGACGTAAATTGTGTGACCCGGGTACAAGCCCCAAACAGGCCCTTGAGCGAGCGTGACTTGGGTGCATGCTCTGCGTCGTTGAGTAGACGGCCAGCAACACTGTGGAGGAAGTATTTTTGCCAAGAAAACTGAACTTGAATCTGGTCAGACGCCTTGATCCCGTTGACAGGAGTCCAGGGCGCTGAGGACACGGTCTGGACACCAGTAGGATCTGCTTGGCCGAGTCCAGGGCAGAAGGAGAGGGATGAGGGGACCCGCAGATTAGAAGCGACTTAGTCAGAAAACAGTTTAAAAATTCATGAGCTGACTGGAGAGACGTAAAGCCCGACTGGATGTTTAATGGTGTTAAGCAGTACTTGTAAATTTTTTAGATGTGAGAGGTTATTACTGTTAAGTCGAACACAAAAAGAGTACTTAAGTTTTAGAGAAAAATTCTGAAATATTATGGATGAAACAATATTATGTCTGGGATTTGCTTAAAGGTAACGAGACGGGGTGCTGGCAGCGGGCGGGGTGCAGGTGAAACACGAGGGCTGCTAGCGGACAGTCGCGGGGCTGGCTGTGGGTGGAGCTGGCTGCACCCTTCTCACCCCTTGTGTGTGTGTTGGAAACTTGCCATAACTAAAGGCATTAAGATGACTTACACAGTGAGTGCACGCACCCAGGTGACACAGTCACTGGTGCGCGTGTAACGCTGTGTCTCGTAGATGTGCGAGCACAGTGGGTTTTAGGGAGGTTCCCGGTCTTTGCACGTTCAGATGAGGAATCTTGTGAGACCAAACCAAGGCCATCCTACGGCTCAAGACGCAGGGGGATTTGCTCAGGGCTGTGGTGCCAGATCCTGGCCCTGCCCCCCTGGCCAGGCTCAGTGACTGTCAACTCTGCTGAAACATGATGGTCTTTCCTGAGCAGCTTTGCAAGGACCCCGTTCTCCACGTGACTCCAGAGGCTCCCAGAGCACAAACCCGAGAGTGTCGTTCCTGCTAAAACCAGCTAACATCTGCTTTTAGCATGAAGTTCAAAATCCTCACCTTGGTCTGTCAGGCCTTGGTGTAATCCGGCTCCTGACCGTCTTTCTGCCTCAGTCTGTGTCACTTTCCCCACTATCCCTTCAGCGCTCAGCTCCAGCCACACTGGCCATCGGCATGCGGCTCTGTACCCCTCCCCGGTTCCGAGACTTGGCTGTCACCTCTCACCTGCTGGGCCGTGCTGCGCGGCTCCTCCCCGAGCACCTGCCGACAGGGAAGACCCCTCTGGGCCTCCAGCTGGGGTACCTGGCCTGTCGCAGTGCTGTCCTCTGGCCGGCCTGTGGCTGAGTGTGTGCAGCGACTGTGGAAGGCCTGTGTGTCCCGGGGGTGGGCAGGGCTCTCACCACCTCCAGGCCCAGCTTGCAGCTTGAGCGAGAGCTGTCGTCTGTGCACGCTCACCGCACAGGAGGGAAATGCGTACAAGTGTGTGAGGATTTGGTCATGACAGAAGTTTTATTCCTCCCAATGTGACTGGTACTTTGGGACCATAGCATGAAGCCAAACACAGATATGATCTGAGTGGGAGACCACATTACTTTGTTTCTATTGTAATAAGTAAAAGGTCACCTAGACACAGAGTGTGATGTGAGGATGCTTGCTTGGTATCCAGCCAACGGAGCCATATGCAGTTAGTAATTTCTTAGGCCGTGAATTTTGTAGAAAAACTGTAGGGAAGTTAAACGACTTTCCTAAAGGGCAGCTGCTGGATGTCTGTAGAAACACTGAAAAGAAGAGCGGGACTTGGAACTTGGGCTGAGCTAGGCCCCGAACGTGTGGGTGTGCGTCTGTGGGACGTCAAGCTTCACGCGACAGGCGTGCGCACCACGGTACACTCGACTGTGCCAGGCAGCTGTCATCTGGAAGTAATTCGGAGACAAACTTTTTAAAGATGATGCGTGTCCATGCAGAATATCAGCATTTCCCCCCAGAACAACCTTGAATTACATTCATTTGCTCAAATAAACCAATATTTCCGTTTTGGAGAAACCTATCTCACCTGCGTCACCCTGGGAGGTGGGGCGGTGTCGTCCTTGCCTTTTCGTGCTGGCAAGACTTGAAAAACAACCACACTCTCTTTCTCACCTTTCTTGTTTCTTAAGAAAACATCCACTGCTCCACATCTGGCATTTGTTGACTCCGCATTATGGAGATTATAATCTTAAAAGAAATGGGGGTGGTGTCCCTGAAGGTGCCAGCATGAAGCAGCATTTTAAAAGGTACGACGCAGCCTCGGGATCGCTTCCTTTTCTGAAGCTCACGGATGAAAACGATGATGCCACGAGCGGCACTCCTAAAGGGCACCGGCTTCAGGGTAAGAGCAGAGAGTCCAAAACAGCAGGGACAGGATGCACGGGGACCA